CTTTTCAGGTTGAAAGCCCTCTCTCTGTGCCTGCCTTCAGACTTAAAGTCTTAAAAATGTTATTTAAATATTTAAATCTTATGTTGTTATTTAACTTTCCAAGAGTCTGTGTCTCGTGTTCCTGACCATATTGTAGCTCTTGAAGATGAAGTCTTCCTACCCCCAAATGGCCCAACAGAGCACCCTGCACAAGATGGTTACACTGATACCTCTAAAGAACCATGTCTCCTGGTATTCAAGCCCCTGTGTAATCCTCTCTTTAATGACTCTGGGATTGGTGTGTGACTTGCTTTGTTTAGCCAATGGGACATTAGCAAGTGTGAGGCGAGTAGAGGCTTGAGAAGCACTTGCCCTCTTGGAACCCAGCTGCCATGTAAAGCAGCTCAGGCTAGACTACTGAATGATGACAGAGAAAAGTCCTGCCCTTTCCATCACCCCTGCAAAGACCCCACATATATGGGTGAAGCCATCTTAGACCCTCTGGCCAACCCACGAGCTACATGATTGAGCTATTTTCTTGCTCCTAAAAGAATGCCTCATTTTTTTCTAGGTGTTGTCATGTTAGGATGTGAAAGTAGAACTGCTGTAGCCATCTTTTGACCATGAGGGAGCTTTTGGAGAACAAAACCAGCACACTGAGGATGGGGAAGTAGAGAGAAAGAAAGAACCTGGGCCCTTGATGACATTAAAGAATTGCTGAATTAACTAACTATGGAGCTAGCTGACTTCTGGACTTTTTATTATATGAGATACATTGTTTAAGTTACTTTGAGTTCAGTTTTCTGTTACCTGAAGCTGAAGGCATTCTAACTGATACAGACCTCAACCAGCTCTACTGGTACAAGGACAAAATTCCTGAAATGCCCTGCATAGTATATAACAGACATTCAATAAATTTGTCATGGCTGAGGAAATAAAAGATTTTGTGGTAGAGAATGCTAATTGCTGACCCAACAACCATTCTCCCTTTCCTCCTTAATTACAGACCTCTGAACTATAGCTGGGCATACTGCTGTCTAGAACAAAAGACTATTTTCCTACCTTCCCGTGTATAGATAGGGCCATGTGACTGAGTTCAGGCAAATGAGTGTAAGCGGAAGTGTTGTGTGGGAGGGCTGATTCACAGGAGCTGACTCAGCTGGAAGGAACCTTTGGTTTGTCCTGCATTTCATCTTGCTTCCCCCAACTTGGTTTTTCTGACTAGTGTTCTAGGCGCCATCTTGGGCCATGAGCTGGCCTTGAGGATATAAGGCAAGAGCTAGAATGGTCAAGCAGAAAGACAGAAACCTGGGGTCCTAATGAGAAAATAGAATTGCCAAAGCAGCTCTGAACTGCCTGGCTTCAGATTTCTTGTCTATGAGAGAAAAACAAACCTCGATTTTACTGAAGACATCATTATTTTGAGTTTTTCTCTTATATTCAGCCAAGTAAAATCCCAACTAATAGTCTTTTTATAACTTTCCTTTTAAAATACTGAAGGCTGGTGTAGAAGAGTATATGAAGAGTATGAGTAATGAGGAATCTCTCACCTGAGTGTTAGCAAGCCCTTCCCGGCTTCCTTTTTTCCAGTCCCTTGAAGCAGCATTTGGGAGTCACTTTTCTGTGCCTCGATTGAAGTTCTAGGTTGCAAATAATAGAATCCAACTCTGGCTAACTGAAGCAAAGGGAGATTTCTCAAAAGGACATTAGGGGTCACTGAGTTGGCAGGAGGCTGGATAGCCCCCCTGGGAATGGACAGCAGTCTGGGCAGCTCTGCAGGCTTGGAGTCAGAACCCTGCAGCCTAGCAGCAGGGACAGCCTGCTCAGGTTACTGCCAGTGCTGCTGGCCCTGCCGCCCCAGATGTCACTGCATAAATGAGTGCCCTCTGACCCATGTTCTCATCCTTGCAACCGTCACTCAGTATCCAATGTCTCAGGACAGACTACATGAATTGAGGAGAGGTAATTTTTAAAAAGAAAACCAGGGTATTTTTATGATGAAGAAATGGAAACAGTGTAATCAAAAAATTATAAACGTTTACCATGTCCATCCAACAAGCCCGAATCAGGTGAAGGAGACTTGACTGGCAGCAGCTTGGTATATAAGGTCCCAATCCTTCTCTCCATAAAAGATACCCTTCTCTGAGTCTAGTCTATTGTATTACTTATTTTTGTCTTGGCCACCCTATTCTGATCTCTTGGCTTTCTGTCCTTGTTGTTTCTTGTTCTTTAAGGAATGATTGAACAGGAAAGTTAGAAAGGGAAGGTTGAAATCATCTATTTTCAATCTCTTCATTTTCTAAGAATATGCTAGGTTTCCCCAGATCTTGACTTCCACGTTTCTGACTGTAACCAGTGTTGAGTTCAGATTGTGTCATCCTGGTGTTTGACCTTGACTATACCTGATTCTTACTAACTGCTATGGGATTGTGTCCTCCCTGCCCCGAAATTCATATGTTGAAGTCCTAATCTCCAATACCTCAGATTTCGCCTTATTTGAAAATGGGGTCATTGTAGATGTAATTAGTTAAGCTCAAGTCATACTGGAGTAGAGTCAGCCTCTAACCCAATATAGCTGGTATGCTTAAAAAGGGGAAATTTGGATACAAAGACATGCACTCAGGGAAATGCCATGTGAAGATGTAGGCAGAGATCAGGGTGATCTTTCTACAAGCCAAGGAATGCTGAAGATTCCAGGAAACAATCAGAAGCTAGGGAGAGGCATGGACCAGGGCTCTTCCTCACAGCCCTCAGAAGGAACCAACCTTCATCTTGGACTTCTAGCCTCGAGAACTGTGAGACAATCATTTCTGTTGTTTAAGTCATCCAGTTTGTGGTACTTTGTTGTGGCAGCCCTAGCAAACTAATAGACTCACCTTCCCAGGTAAAATCCCTAATCTCTATTTGACACTTCATTCCTGTTCATGATACAAACATAATCTTTTCTCATAGGTTAGAGAACTTTGTCAGTCACCTGTGACTCTGCCTTCTCTTCCTTTCTTTATATTCAATCTCGCACCAAATCTTAACTACTTTTTAAAAAATATCTATCCATTTCATTGCTACCACCTCAGTCCCATTCTTCATCTCACAATTGAATTATTAAAACTGTTCCCTAAAGGGTCCCCCTGATGCCAGTGTTGTTTCCTTTATCTGGTTTTCCATGTCTCCAGCTTCCCCATGCCAACAGCCTCCACTCAGAGCCTTGCCTGAGCCTTCCCCTATTTCCCCACTGCAAGCTTTCCCATTACGCTGCCTTCGAGTCTCTACCAAAAGGAAATGAAGGTCTCTGACCGTCTTGCTGTAGCAAACTGAATAAATAGCCTCGGTTCTCATTTGGTGGTCTTTGTTTATTTCCACAGAATGAATAACATATGGTGGAAAAATGCTTTTTCTAGTGCATTTTCTAACGTGGTGGGAAGTGACCCTAAAGCTGCAAGCAGCATCTTGGCTATTGTGTCGGGTCTGCCTGTCAAAGAACAATAGCAGCACGGAAATGAGCAGAGCAGGACATGGAGGCAGAGAGAACTACTCATGCTTCTGTTTGGGATCTTGGCTCCAGCTGTGACTAAAGTTAGCTCTACTTTTGGACTTCGCAGTTTCCTAAGCCAATGAATTTCTGTCTTGCATTTGCTAATTTGAGTTTCTGTGGCTTGCAACCAAAAGAGTCATGACCAACAATCAAGTCTCTTTTTTTGAGCCCCTCTGACCCCCTTAGAATAAGGGGCCAGAGCTATTTCTACAACCAGGTGGAGAGGGAGGACTGGAAAGCCCTGATGCTTTGGTCACTTGTGACAAATTCCTTGGCCTAGAGAAGTTCAATGGGCAAAATGCACAATCTCCTGTGTGGTCCCAAAGTTGGGCCCCAAGGTGACAGCTTTTTAGTTCACGTTCTTATGCTCAGCTACTGTTCTCCCAAGCGGGACATATTAGAGTGGCAGGATCCAGGGAGGTTTCCAGCCTTAGCCATGTGCCATACTAAAACCAGCCCTCCCCACACAGCTGTAGGCCCTCATGTTGAGCCCTGGTTTTCTACCCTACCGCCCACCTCTTGGTAAATTCTCCTGGTCGGGGTACTCACCTTAACCCAGGAAGATTTTCTGAATTTCAGATCTTGGGAGTTTTATTTCCTTCCCTATCAAAAGGCTCTGGGCTCCTATACAAACTAGTCCATTCCCTCTCCAGGGCTTGGTATACCAGGGAATCTCCAGAAGATGCTCAGCTTTGATCAAGCAACAACATTTCCCTTCTCTAGAACAGAAGGTATTCATTTTTTATTTGCATTCTTAAATAAGCCATTTCTTTTTTTTTTTTTTAGCTGAGCCATCCTGCCACCTGTTGGCAGCTCAGCGGCTGCTCAGCTCAGGCTAGACTCGAACTGCTGTTGCTCAGAGCTCAAACTCTTGAGCAAGCTCTTAACCAACTGAGCCACTCAGCCGGCCCAATAAGCCATTTCTTAAATGGCTTTGCAGAATATAGAAAATCTGCCCCTAGATGACTTTACCTCTGTTTATTCAGAGAAGCAGTTTCTGAGGTTTAAAAAAAGTAAAATGGAAAAAAAAAAGGCACTTATTTCCCAGTACCCCACGCTGTGAACAATTCTGCTTGTCAGGTTGGTCTCTTTGTTTCCAAATCTCAGCTTCTACACTCTGCACATGCTGTCGGCAGCTTAAGCTTTCCTCTTCCATTTTTGGAACCCTACAATCCAAGACCACACTATGGCTATATAATCATTTCCTCTCTCATTCTTTCAAAACTATTTGTCTTTTCTCTTAACTAATGTACACATACTTTGAAGGCAGAAACCATACTTTCCCTATATATTCTTTAGCACTTAGTATTCATTTTACAATTGGTGAGTAAATGACAATGAATGATCAAATATCTTTTGTAACAAATAGTACTTTCAATACTTGAATTTTCATACAAGTTGCAATGTAAGAGATTAAATCTTTTTGAAGTTTATAAAAATTGTCATAAATATTATTATTTTATTATTTTAATTTCAACTTATTATACATACAGTTGAAAACTAGATTTTATTTTGTTTAACAATTAGAAAAATAACATTCTTTCACACATTTCTAAATTATTATTCACAAATTTTACATTTAAATTAACTTTAATATTTAAAAAGATTTTGAATTCACTACCCAAAACGTAAGAAAAGTCATGCTACCTTTGTGACCCAAAATTGTAAAGTTCCTTATTACCTTCTTCTTTAGTTTCCCAATAAAATATGTATAAATTAGAAGTATATTTTTAAAAGTAACTTTAGCTTGTCAAAAAGTCAAATGATTAAAATTTAGCTTAGTTTAATGTTTCTTTTCTGTTGCTATAAAGGTGAATGTACAGTTTGATACTGTAAGTAAAAAAAACTTTTTTGTGTGTCCTGTAAACACTCCTTCCTTAAATGTCTTCCTCCTTTGGAAGTATATTCACCTCTGTAAGCATTTGAGGAGAAATCTGTAGGAGAGTGGGACATGTCTGAACTCTTGGATTTTCCTTCTTCTTAGTGGCTCACTTTAAAAAGCTGAGGTTAAGAGAATCAGGTACCCTTTCCCCAACTAGGTTTCAATAGGTTCATTCATTTATATATAGTATATATATTCCTGAATTGACATACAATATATAGTTATAAATCAGGGACTTTTAAGATAAATATAAGATTTAAATAAAATCTCTTGATGACTTTCCTTTAATAACATGTGAAAAAAACAAACTCTTAACTTCAAGATCTGAAATTTGAGACTGCTTTTCCATTTCTTCAGCTCCTAATAAGCACTAAAAAGCAATTTGCATCAATTCGCCACCTACTCCTTGGCATCCCCGATTCCTCCAGCAGTTATTGCGAAGGTGGCTTCATTTTCAGGCATCTCAGGGCTAACAGAATACAAGGGAACAGAAGTTTATAAAAAGCTCTATTTCTATAAATACTATATTCATGTCACAGGCATCACACTCCTATTGGTCTGACTCTCCAGAGACATCTCAGGGCTGGTACAGCTGAATGTGGACTACAGAATTTACCTATGGATACTGACCCATTTTTGATCAGTTTATAATTATCCCAGCATTCCCATCTGACTATGTATGTGTGGTAATTTGATTTTTCTTTTGATCTGGTTATAAAATCTTATTGGTTCCTGTATTACTTCACATATGTAGTCAGCATTACTTTGATTAACTACATAAATCTCTGTTCCTCAAATTATCCTTTGAATCAAAGATTTCCTCATTAATTATGGAGTTGAATAAAACTTAGACACATGTTCATTTTATATTTATTTGCAAGAAAGTCATGTTTTTCATTTTTTAAAAATCATACTTTAGCATGTGTTAGACCCTGTAGATTTTACAAAAATGAGACATAGACCTTACTCTCAAGAAGTCTAACAGGTGGGTTATGACATACAACACGTAAAGTAAGCTAAGTTTCATGTCAGTGTACAGGTAATAGAACTCTAAAGAAAGGAGGGTATGCCAGGTAGGTTGATTAGGAAAGGCTTGGTAGATAACAGCTGCAGGGCCTTTGAGGCAGAAATGGGAGTCATCCAGGTAGTGGTAATGGCATAAACAAACAACAAAAAATGGCAATAGAGAAGCTTGTTTTGTGTATAAGAAAGACGGAAGAATAAGAAGTTAGGTTTAGATATGTTATGTTTGAGGTACCTTTGGGACAGTCATGTAGAGGAGCTCTGTAAGCTGGAAAGGAATATCTAACGCTTGAGCAAAAGATTAGACTAGAAATTTGAAAATCACTGACCATGAGAGAAAGAGCTTACTGCTACTTTGTGCTGTTATTATATCCAGGTTATGGGGACTGTATAGTAATACTAATAGCTTCCATTTATTAAGTATTTCCTATTTACTATGTGTCAGACTCCCTTGTTATTTCATTTAAACTTTATGATACCTCTTTCAGGTATGTATTATTATCCACATTTTACAGATGAGAAGACTGAGGTTCAGAGAGAAGTAATTTGCCCAAGGTCACACTACTAGTAAGTGAAGATGCCAGAGTTAGAGACTAAGGTAAGGACTCCAAGCTCATGATCTTACCCACTAGGCATGCTGCCTCTCAAAGTTGGTTCTGGTTTTTTATTTTGTTTGTTTGACTGTTTTGTTTTGTTGGGAGGTGGAGATAAGGCAGTATACTTTGAACACACTGTGGGTAAGGTTACTTCCCTGAGGGTCTCCCCTGAGGATAGCAAATGGGCTGTAGATAAGGTAGGTCTTGCTAGATTAAAACTGGAGTTGAGTAAGAAGCCCTGAGTGGAATTAGAAAATAACCTTTGGCCTTGATGGAAAATACTCAGTTGGCCACTTACAAAAAGCAGGAAGAGAAGGAGCTGAGAAAGAGGGAAGCCAAGCAAGGTATCTGCAAAGTTGAACCAGAGATTATGTTTGTTTGTTTTGTTCTAGAAACAGAATAAAAAACAATTATTTTAGAAACCTACCCATTTGTATGCCTTTTCATTTTCTTGTAGTTATTTAAAATGTGTTTTTTCTCTGAATTCAGTAGAGTTCTTTGTTTTTAATATCCACTGATCTCAGATAAGCTAAGTGGCATAAAATAAATAGGGTTTTTATTTACTCACTTAAAAGTTTTAAAGAGGGCTGGCCGAGTGGTGCGTTGGTTAAGAGTTGACTTGGGATGCCAGAGGGCCCAGGTTCGGATCCCACATATGAGGGCCAGTGACATTGCCCTCTACAGCTAAGATGCTGAACAACAGCTCGACCTAGAGCTGGGTTGCCGTGAGTCGCAGCTGGCGACGGCACCGTGTGTAGCCAACAGCCAGCGTGAGCGGCCAGCAGCTGGCAACTGATCTGCCTTGCTCTTGGGAAGAGCGCAATGATGGTGCCAACTTGGGCCAGTGAAGCAACGTCCTCTACAACTAGACTGAAGAACAAAAACAACAGCAACTTGTCTGTTCCCCTTCCCTCAATTCCCCAATAAAAATTTTAAAAAAAAGTTTTAAAGAGAGAAGAATGTACACTTGAAGGCCAGCTCTAGTTACTTATGGGAGCAGTAACTATGATGACATTCTAGGAAAAGGGCTGTGTTCCTTTTTGTAGTCACTCCTATACACCTGGGAATTCTTCTGAGAACCCTTTTCTGCTCACTTTTTGGGGAATTCTTTGTTTTCTTTTAACAAGAAATGTCTTTCTCTTACACCTGTATAAGGTAGTAGTTGAAGCCATGGGGGTAGCTATAGATTAACTATGACTACCCTCAATAGATCATCTCTAATAAACTAAGAAATAGTGTAATGATTAAAAGTGCAGGCCCTTGATTCAGACAGCATAGATTCTAATCCTGATTCCATCCTTTATTGGTGATGTGATTTGGAGCAAGTCCATTCATTTATTGGGTTGTCGGAAAAGTCATGATGCATTTTTGCAACGAAAAACATAGAAAAAATACGTCATGACTTTTCCGACAACCCAATACTTAAGAAAATATTTATTGGGTCGGCTAAATGGCTTGTTGGTTAAAAGTCGGCTTGAGAACCAAGCTCTGAGCAGCAGGGCCACCAGTTTGGATCCCACATGAGCCAGTGATGCTGTCCCCTCTACAGCTAAGATTGTGAACAACAGCTCGACCTGGAGCTGGGCTGCCAAGTTGCCGGCGAAGGTGTAGGCTGCAGGGGGCCTGCAGTGGGCTGCAGTAAGCTACCGTGAGCGGCTGGCAGCTGGCGTAAGCTGCTGTGAGCCGCCGTGAGCCGCCGTGAGCAGCCGTCAATGGCTGGTGACCAATCTGCCTCAGCTGGGAAGAGTGCAATGATCACAATACCAACATGGGCCAGTGAAGCGACATTCTCCACAACTAGACTGAAGAACAAAAAGGCAGCAACTTGTCTGTTCCCCTCCCCCAATTCCCCAATAAAATCTTTTTTAAACAAAAGAAAATATTTGTTGAGCATCTGCTATATCCTTGTTGTAGTCACTTGAGATTTGTAAATGGGAAGAAAATAGACAAATATCCCTGTCCTTGTGGAACTTATATTTGGCAAAAGGAGAGACAGACAATAAATAATGGACACAATAAATAAATATATTAGGTGATATGTTAGGAAATGGCAAATGTTGTAGGGAAATAAAAAGTAGAACTAGAAACAACTGAATTCTCAAAACAAAAAAAAGTAGAGCTAGGTAAGGGAGATTGGAAGTGTGGAAATTGGGAGTAGGCTAATTGTAATTTATAACAGGGCAATCAAGACAGGCATTGCTGAAAAGGTAACATTTGATCAAAGACTTGAAGGAGGTGAGGGCAATAACCAGAAAGAGGGCTATGTGGGGAAAGATTATTCCAGGTGAGGAGAACAGTAAGTGTGCAATGGCCCCAAGGTAGGTGTGTGGCTGGCACGTGTATAGAACATCAAGATGCCCACTGAGGTTGAAGCACTAAGCAAGGAAGAGAGCAGGAAGAACAGGACTAGGGCCATTCATGAGATTTGGGCTTTCCCTCTGAGTTAGGATGAAGAGCCTTTGGAGGGCTTATAAGCAGAGGATAGACATGACTTGACTTAGTTTTACAAAGGACCACTTTGGCTTTTGCATGTAAAATAGGCTATAGGGGGCAATGATTACCTAAGTGCTTGGGGCTTTGGTTTTCTCATGTGTAAAGTGGGAATAATGACCTCTATCTCTTAGGTTTATTGTTATATACAATGAAATACATATAAAGCACTTGGTGAAAGACCTAGCACATAGTAGTACTCAGTAAGTTGTTACCTATCATTATTAGCATCATCATCTTCTCTACCTCAAAGTTCTAGAGTCAAGAATTCTTCAAGGGAGTATGTGCTGCACAGAAAAATAAGTTTTGCCATTTTAAGCTCTGATCTAGTTTTGCTGTTTTTATTCAAATTTATGGAAACTTGATATAACTAACCTCCATGATAACTTTAATTATCCTTTAATGAGTCTGCAGAACCCTAGTATTCTTAGGACTGTAAGAATTGCAGGACTTGTTTGTTTCTGCATGTTTGGAGAACTTGATGAAATATACAAATGATTGAACATGTAGATGGGATTAATTCATTTGTTAATTAAAACAATAGTTATTGAGTTCCTACTATGTGCCAAGTACCTTGTTGGGTGCTGGGAGCATTAAAAAAAACAGACTCAATCCCTGTTGTGAGGGAGATGTACATGTAATCAGTTGATTACAATTCAGAGTAAAAAGTGTTTTGGAAAGTTCTTCCAAATCTGTCCAAGATATAGACCAAGAAATTTTAGTAAAAACATGGGGCAATCCTACTAGCTATTCAACAACAACAACAAAACATTTGTAGCAAATTTCTAGAGATTGCTGAAGCTCCATAAAGCACAGCATTTATGTATTATAGTCTTTCATAGGGACAGGCGATGAAAGCAAAATGATCTGAATAAAAACTATACAGACGTAAAAACTTATAATTTAATATTTATTCAATGACAATACATACTAATTACTGGGATTCACAGCAAAAAAGCAGATGAAGAGCTCATCTGATTTCTTTTTGGCTGATTTTTTCCTACTAGGGTAAAGAATTATTATAAATCTCTGCCTTATTGCTCAGACAAATCAGTCAGTGACAAATATTGTACATCTGTTATGTCCCAGGAATAGTGTCCCTATCCTCAAGGTATTTAATGTCTAGCAAGGATGACATGTGCTATAGTATAAATCACTACCAGTGGAATGTAGGCTCCACGAGAGCAGGGCCTTGTCTTTTTGTTTCGTTCACTGATCTATCCCCAGAACCTAGAACAGCTGATATGTAGTAGGTTTCTCCTTAAAATGTATGGTTTATAATTCTTAGTTAAATAAGTAAAGTACTGTGAAAGAATGTAAGGTGTACTATAAGGTATAGCCTAGACTGCAAGGGTCAGAGGAAGGTTCCCTGAGGAAGTGATGTTTAAACTGAAACCTGAAACAAAACTGGCAGAAAGAAGAATGTATTCCTATCATACTCTGTACTTTTCCTGCACTTACGACACTTCAATTGGAATTGATAATTTCATTATCTAGCATCACTGTAAGCTTTGGAAGGTCAAGGACCAAATCTATTTGGCGACAGAATCCCTGAATCCTTAGAACCTAGTACATAGTAGGGACTTCCCAATGAACTGAAAAATTTTTGAGAAGGAAATTAAAATATGCAGTATCTTGCAGTGGCATAATTACAGCCTCTCAGGAGAGGCAATTTTATTTAATACCATATGCACAAGAATCTGATTAAGAATAAGATAATATTTACCTGTCATAAATCTTGGCGATTCTCAGCTCTCCTCTTCCCTTTCGCAAGCTTATTCTTGTTGTTGAAGCATGAGCCAGAATGTGTCCCCCAATGGGTTTTTTGGGGTCTGCCTGAAAACTAAATTAAAACACCTTTTCAGGTTTCATTATATGGACTATACAGAGTAAGAGCTGCAATTTCAAGACAACGTTTCTGTGGAGGATGGCAGGGGGTGGGGTAGGTGTGTTCTGAACAAGCAGACGCTTGTTCATTAACTATGGAGTAGGGTAGGGTTCAGAGCTGCTATGTACCCCACTGCCATCCAGTTCAGGCTTCTGAGAGTCCTGTGATAAGTAGTTCATGTTTTACTTGATATTTTAAAAAGAAAAAACACAAGTAAAACATTAGGATAACTCCTGGGGTAAGCAATTTTTCTTCTTTATAAAATACAAAGATTGAATTTATTTACTCCTGCGCTCATTTGTCAGAAATGTTTATTGACGGCCTACTATGTGCTAAGCACTATTCTAGTCTAATGAATAAGAAATACCCAACCCTCCTTCCTGATTCTACGATGTAAATGAGAGCAGATTGAGACTCTCCTTCTTATACGTTAACTCTATGTTGGAAGACTTCAATGTTGTACAGGTTATGAATTTGCAGTGAGAATAACCTCAGAAATATCTTTGTCTTTATCACTGATGCCTAAAGTTTATTCTTTTAAAATATGATACAGAAAAGATAAGCTCTTACTATGTCTGATCATATAGATTGAAAAATATACTGTGATTGTAATGTAGTTTACACATATTGTTGACACTGATCTTGAGAGACAGACTCACTTGAGGACTAACACTCACTTGACAAGATGTGAAAGGTTTTTATTAACCCTATAATCCTAATAGTGAGCCCTTCAAAAAAACGTAGGTGCAACAATCCTCAACAAAATACTAGCAAACCAAATCCAGCAGCATATTAAAAGGATTATACACCACGACCAAGTAGAACTTATTCTAGGAATGCAGGAGTGGTTCAACATAGGAAAACCATCAATGTAATATACCATACACACATCAATAAAATGAAGGAAAAACCCACATGATCATCTCAACTGATTCAGAAGAAAACCTAGGCTTCAAAATCATCAATAAAGGGAACTGAACATAAACTAACAGGTTATACTTGATCAAAATAAACTGTGCTGTAGCATAATAGCCTCAGTTCTGGGAGAATGGGGTTACAAGCAAACTCAAACTCTCCTTGCTCCAAGAAGCTGTTCAGGATCCTGGTTACTCTAAGCATGAGGCTTGGTGTAGTGAGGAGATGGCTGATTGGCATGGGGTTAAATAGGTTGTAAGTTGGTGGGGATAAAAAGCTCTCTGCTAAGGGAGTCTGCTGGTATAAACGGCAGCTGGATTAGGTGGCTCAGAGGTTAGGACCAGAAGATCCCTGGCTGGGTTTGGATAGGATTGGTTAAGATTCATCAGTGTCAGGCATGGGAGTCACCATCACCACCAGGACACAGAAGGCCCGAATAGACGAACCCTCTGTTCTCAGAGCCCACTTTCTTTTTTTAAAAATAGATTTTCTTTCAAAAAAAAACCCCAAAAAACCAGAGAGAGATTCAGCACGTCCAACGTGGGAACAAAATCACTATCAAGAAAGTAGCAGCCAGGCAGTTGAGACAGATAGCAATTAAAAAGTCAGAAGGCTGGGTTGCTTTATGCAGGCAGCTGAATGGGGCAGTAAAGCAACTGATCTCACTTGGATGAAATAGATAAAGGTGTTATCTCTGTAATGTTTATGGATCAATGCTGCTCTTTTTAATGGAATGGTTCTAAACTTTCCAGATCACCCTATGTTACACGCGGTTCTTCAAGGTCTTAAGAGAATCCCATGTTCTATATGGATAGGCTGCTTGAGGCCCTGGTGATATACTCAACTGGGCTGTGAACTCAGAATTTGCAAACACTACATTTATGCTTCTCTACTGCACTTCTCATGTTCTGTTTTTAGTGCTATTATCACATATTAATATCAATCCTTCTTCTATTACCTATCTATGGCTAAGCTCCTTAAGAGCCGACGATATTGTATTTAGCTCTGTAGCAACCAGCTACACAGTGAGTGCTCAAAATATTTTTTTGAACGTAAGATATGGAAGTTATAAAAATATCAAAGAGAATATTGGACTGTAGAAAGATTGGTGCTTCCACAGAAGGTAAACCAGTTAGAAGTTTCTATCAAGAGGCAACAAGAAAGGATAGCTAGGGCCGGCCAAGTGGCGCATTGGTTAAGAGCTGGCTTGGGACGCAAGAGGGCCCCGGTTTGGATCCCACATNATCCCACATATGAGGGCCAGTGACACTGCCCTCTACAGCTAAGATGCTGAACAACAGCTCAACCTGGAGCTGGGCTGCCATGAGTCGCTGGCGACAACATACGTAGGCTGCAGCCCCTGCTGCAGTGGGTTGCCATGGGCTACTGTGTGTAGCCAGCAGCCAGCGTGAGAGGCCAGCAGCCGCAGTGAGGGGCCGTCCAGAAGCCAGCAACTGATCTGCCTTGCCCGGGAAGAGCGCAATGATGGTGTCAACTTGGGCCAGTGAAGCAACGTCCTCCACAACTAGACTGAAGAACAAAAAAACAGCAATTTCTCTGTTCTCCTTCCCCGATTCCCCAACGCTCTTCCCCCAATTCCCCAATAAAATCTTTTAAAAAAAAAAGCACACTACATTGTAATTTTTAATTCATGGGTCTCACTCTCCTACTATACTCTAAGTCCTGTTCATCTTTGTAACTCCAGTGCTTAGAAAAGTGCTTGTAATATAGAAAGCACTCAATATTGTTGAATGAATACAGAGGGGAAGACAATTTGGGTCTCCCTGGTCTAGATCCTTTGGACACAGATCTGTGACATATCTCTGAAGAAGCTATAATTCAAGGAAGCTTTGAAGGGTGTTCTGACAGACAGGCAAATATAAAAGATGGAATTTCTTCCTAATTGAGGTAATCCTCTCCCAACCCCATTACAGATAATCCAAAGAGCAGGAAGCTGGAGCTTCTGGATGTATAGCCATGGTGTTTTCTTAGCAAATTATTGTTACCAATGTGGTACCCTATGCATAAAAGATAATAAGTATTACTGTTTGTTACTGATTATTCTAGGTGGGGAGCCTGAATGTTAAGAATGCCATCTCCAAAGAGAGATGATTTTGAATGAACAAAATGGGGAAATTATAGGATTTGCAAAAACATATAGGAAAGATACAAGTATGGGGAGAAAAAAGTCCTTAAAAAGACTCATAAACTAAGAGGATATACCTAATCAAAATAGATTGCAACATAGCATAACAGCCTTAGCTCTGGGAGAATATCAAGCCAATTCTAATTTTACTTGCTCCATCAAGGTATTCAGGATTCTGTATAGAATTTTGGATAGAATTTATGGCTCTTAGTCTCTCTTGTAGGCCACTGACACTTTAATAATTTAAGAAAAGATATAGACTCTCCCCCAGAAAAATGTACATATGTACATATACAAGAATTTGCATGTAAGTTTAGGAGATTCATGGTTCTTTCCCCCTCTGGTGTAGACAGGTATTAATAACAGTAATAACAACCAAGAGTTACGGAGTCCTTACTGTGTGGCAGTCCTTACTCTTCTAACTCATCTAATTGTTCCCCTTCGCTTGGATTCCATATTTAGTAAATAACTTTGGACTGAAATTTGGGTTCCTATAGAGGCCTACCTATAGGGAGAGATTGCACTGGTCACAAGAACCTCAAATGTAGTTACATTTTTCATTATCAGTAAACTGGCCCTCTGATCTTTCGTTGAGTCTCATGAGCTTGATTAATGTGAGTCTGCCCTGAGAGATGGATTGGTTCTCAGTAGGCTGACCAAATCAAATCTCTGCCTGCAAGGCTGAGAGCCCTGAACTCTGGTCAATTCACCAGGGCAATGGATACATCCCTGCAAAGCCTCTCAAATGACAGCATGCCAACCTTTCCCCAGGCATATACAGCCCTGATGTACTGTGTGGTACATGAGCTTTGGAGTGAGACCTGGGTTCAAGTTTTGGCTTATCAGCCAGACACGTGATCTCTGGAGAATTGTTTAACCAACCTTAGTGTCAGTTTCTTCATTTTAAATGGGGGATGATAACTGTACCTAACAGTAGGGTACTTGTGAGAATAAAATGAAATACTTTAGGTGAGGTATTAGCCTAGTGAGTATAGTCATTATCATCTGCTTTCATAATCCTGACTCAAACACTTATAATCTATGTTACCTTGGGCTAGTTACTTACCTTTATGAATCTCAGTTTAACTGTAAAATGGGAACAAAAAGATCTTATTTCTTAGGGCTGTTGTGAGGATTCAAGATATATTTAGTATAGCTTGTTGGGAGTCTACTAAGTGCCAGGAACTATGCCAGATCATTGATACACATTAGCTCTACCTTTACAGAAATACTGTCATGTAAGAGATACTCAATAAGTAGTAACTATTATCATTTAACTAAAGGATTCAGATAAAATAGTCACTCTTTCAGTGACATGTAGACCAAGAAACTTTTCTTAAAGTTTCTTTGAACTGTCTTTGAACCAAGTCTTGAGGTAAAGTATAAGAAGATGTAATAGCATTCCACATTCTTTCAGAGGGCTTTAATTTATTTCTATTTCTGATGAAGTAAAAACAGCTTTAGAAAACCACCCACAGCCCTTCTTTAGCCTATTTTCTTATTTCCCCTTCTTTGTATTTTTTTCTCCTCTTCTTTCCTCCTTTTCTCAGGGGATTGGGGAGTATGATGAGAAGGAAAAAGAGATGGGGGTGGATATTAGAAATAAAGAGGGACCAGAAAAGACTGTTTCATTTCTCCACGTCTGGTTGAACAGAATACAGCCTATTGTATTGTTGAGGGTAAAACCCAGAACAGCCTGACTGCCCAACTTCAAATTAGGGTAATTGGGTCATGAAGTACAGGATTATGGTGATGGTAGGGCAGGTGATATCTTTCTGGGAATGGGATGAGGAGGGTAGCACAGTGAGGCTAAAAGAGCATCAATTTTGAAGTCAAAGATACCTGGGTTCAAATCCTGGCTCTATGTTTTAATTGTGTGACTGAGTGAGTACTAAGTATCCTGAGCCTCTGTTTCCTCCTTTATAAATTATGAATAATAATAGCATCTATGGTAAACACTTGTTGGAGTAGGTACCTTGAGGGGGACTGGGCAAGGATAAGTTTGAGGGACAATGGGTACTCCTGGTACTTTTGACTTGCTAAGGGGTAAGCTTACAGGTAGAATTTTTGAGAAGGGGTCCATCGAAGAGAGAAAGACTGAGTGAGCATGCCCCAGAATCAGGGGGATGTGCTGAGGTTAGGAAAGATAGGGAGAGAATACTGCCGAAAGAGAAAAATTTGGGGGAAAGCAAAGAGATAGTTTCAAAAAAGGAGTATGTTTAACAAGTTTTGCTAAGTAATCCCCCCTCCCAAAGTATGCATAAAAATCTACACTTTTTTCAACATTCTGAAGATGGAATTCTAGGGTTTTTTGGGAGCAGGGGAAAGATGGAGTAACATACTGAGACTGGCTTCATGGAAAGAACACGGAGGCCCAAGGAAGCTGAATTATGCTAAGGTGACACAGAATTACATAAGATGATGCATAAAAGCATCTTGCACATGAGAAGCAATCAATAAATATACGTTCTCTTAATTTTGATGGGGAAGAAAATAAATTCAAATAGTTTAAATGACTTGCACAAAGTCACCATGCTAGTGACCCTAGTTGAATTTATTTTCTCTAACCAAATTGCTGCTTAATTTATTCTAATGATGTTGAATCAGTAGGTGACATCCTTAGAAAATAAACTGACTAAACATTTACGAGACTGCAAATGTTCTAAGATGACTTTTGGTTTTAGCAAAACAAATACACACATAAAGTAGATGGCATCATGGTCTTATTCATTGCACATCTTATTTGTTGCCCTGGTGTGGAGCTTTATAGGCTGATACTTGACTTTCTATCTCCAGACATTCATCAACTGGATCATCCTACTTCTAAAATCTGTATCTGTAAGCCTTGTATAGAACTATTGCTCTGCTATATCATACGGCAGCTCTGTGTCTCTATAATTTTGTTCCTTTTTAATACAATGTGCCATCAAGTACTTGTATAATGCATGGGATATAAGCCTCAATTATTGTCAGCGTACTTGGGGACTCATACCAATTATAGTGATATTTCTCCGACAGGCCCCAAGCTGCAAGCTGCAGCTTGGAGTTCCTCAGCTCTGAGAAACAAAAATATTTTCTTTATGGGAGGCTTTCTAATAGCATCTGAAATTCTTTAGGTTAATACTGTCCTGGCTTTTTTCATTTAGTGATGGCAATATATATGCTTTCTATGAAGACATGCATTTAATTTGTATTGTTATAATTTTAAATACTTTGGAATATACTAATTATGGTGAACCTTGTTTCCTTACAACTTGGTTAGGTGGAGGAGATGATTTCAAGGCTGATTCATCCAGCAAAAATATTAGCCTTTGTTACCTTCTCTGGCTCTTTACTTAGCTCACTTCATTATAAATCTCCTCCCCTCTCCAATTCCTGCAATTATTTCCTTCTATCACCTCTCTATTTCTCCTTTCATTGTCTTATTGGAGTCAATTCAAAATGGTTTTACTCTCTTTGAAACTTTCTACAAATGTATAAAAAAAGAATCCCTAACTGACCTAATTTCCACGGATTTCCTTTACCTTCCCTCTAACTCTAGACAATGTTGGCCTCTTCAGTGTTTCCTCCCCACACCTGAAGAAAGAACATTGCTCTTTAACTTGTACTGTTTTATTTGAATGCAACCCACTTCCTCCCTCTGAACCAATGAGTCATTTTCTCTTTTTAAAGCAAGCCTTAAAAATCTTCCATTTCTCTTCAGTTTAAAATTTTTCTTTTTCTGAAGTACTTCATGTCCTATGTATGAAAGGTACCCTATAAAACAGAGAAGATTGCCTTGACCACTCAAAGACTACAGACAATTGCGTGCCCTACCAAAAATAAAAGTTTGAGTTAAGTGGACATTATTTATTTTTCTTTTTTGTGGATGCAAGGCACATAGTTTCTTTTGTTGACTAGTGAATTCTCAGAATCTTGATACATGGTATTGTAGATTTTCAATAAATATATGTTGAGTGAATTAAATGACTGATTCCCCTCCTCAATCTTTTTAACTTGCTTAATATCATCTGTGTAGTTAATATTTTCACATTGGAATCTGCCATGATTAACTAGAAAATACTCATAAAAGAGTATTGAAAAGTGAGAGATATATCAAACTGCAGAAGAGGCAGCAGCACTCTTAGAGTTAATTTAGAAAAGGCCTAAAGAGAGATGCATTCGTTTCAGTACAATTTACAGAATTTGCACTAGCATATCAAATATCTTCTAATATATATATCAATCTCCATGACTTACTTATTTTATAATCAGAAGTTTGGGGATTAATGTACAGCAGGGTGACTAGAGTTAATAATAATAAAACATATGCCAATGACTCATTTATGTATTGTTATACAATGTAGTGACTCAGTTTTAAAGTAATACCACTTTGTATTGTAACCATAAGAGTAATAATTGATGGAAGCAAGAATAATCAATGGATGTTAAAACTACTGGGTGAAAGCTTATCATAGAACAAGGTATTTACACCAGTCTCAACGTATCACTCCACAAACTACTTATTGATTACAAAGGGGAAAGGCCTTTTACTAATACAGTGCAGAAATCTTGTGAACACCGTCTTAATCACATGATCAAACTTAACATCATTAATAATGGGACAAACTGCCCTATAGTTTTTCTGCTAAAAGTGTTTAACATTTTAAATAATGAGAAAAAAAATCAACTCCAAATTGAGAGACATTCTGAAAAACAGTTGGCCTGTGTTCTTCAAAAATATCAGTGTCATAGATGGTGAACAACAGCTCGACCTGGAGCTGGGCTGCCATGAGTAGCCGGCGACAGCGTAGGCTGCAGCCCCTGCTGCAGTGAGCTGCCATAAGCTACTGTGTGTGTGGCTGGTAGCCAGTGTGAGCGGCCGGCAGCCGGTGTGAGCTGCCATGAGCCGCTGTGAGCGGCCGTCTGCTGGCCAGCGACCGATCTGCCTCATCTGGGAAGAGCACAATGATAATACCAACATGGGCCAGTGAAGCAACATCCTCCACAACTAGACTGAAGAACAAAAG